ACAAGTGGGCCAAGTTTCTCAACTTTCTACATCTGATTGAGGGTGGCCCTACCGCAGTTGGACTCCCCCGTATCTTCGACTTCATCCTCTCCCTAGCGAAGACTGGACTGAGTCACTCGTCACTAAGAGTCTACCTCACGGCCATTTTGGTGTTTCGTGGAAGAATAGACAATACTTCGGGTTTTGCCCACCCAGACTCCAAGCGTTTTTTAAAAGGACTGCTGCACCTGTACCCCACACTTAAAAAGCCGGTTCAGGCCTGGGACCTGCCTACGGTGTTGCGCAGGTTCACGGGCAAGCCCTTCGAGCCCATGGCCACTTGTGAGCTGAAATATTTGTCCTGGAAGACAGCCTTTCTGGTAGCAATTACTTCAGCGTGTCGGGTGAGTGACCTCATAGCATTTCGACATGACACCCCATACCTGACTTTCCTACCGGTGTGGCCTTGACACCAGACATTTCCTTTCTACCTAAGGTGGTGTCAGGGTTCCACTTACATAGGCAGGTTATATTACCAGATTTCTATCCGAACCCCACATCAGATGTAGAGTGCTTGTGGCACACTCTGGATCTATTCTATTTGGATAGAATGCACGGTTCTCGGAAGGACCCTCATTTGTGCCTGTCCTATTCTGTGCATTCATTGGGCCAGAGAATATTGTCTCAGAGACTGTCCAAATGGATTTCAGAGACTATTAGGTTCTGTTACCTCTTAGACAAGAGGCCGCTACCTGTCTGGCCAAGGGCCCACTCTACTCGGGTGATATCGACCTCCATGGCATTACTCAGGGGTGTGCCCCTTCAGGACATCTGCCAAGCAGCCTCCTGGGCGACTCCGAACACATTCATCAAACACTATGCTGTGGATGTATGCTTGCATCACCGCTCGATTCTCAGCCGTTCGATCCTGCAGTCTGTGCTTCCTTGAGGTGCTGCCAGCTCCCTCCTCCAGGTAAGCTTCAGCTTGCTAATCTCCCATAGGTGTGATGCATAGAGACCACGAACAAGATAAACAGGTTGCTTAACTGTAACTGATGATCTTCGAGTAGTCATCTATGCATTCACACCACCCACCCTCCTTCCCCACTGCTGTCAGCTTTGACTTTACTCTTTTTCGGTTGGGGTTGGCAGCGGTCAGAAGGAACTGGCAGGATACTGGGGCCCCGCCCTCCGAGCATGCGCAGTTGGAGTTGCTGCGCGTGCTCGGAGGCTGGGCTCCGAATCCTCTCGAGCTTGATAGAAGTTTCCCAGTCCGGAGCCGGCGCAGGCATCTAACCCATAGGTGTGAATGCATAGATAACCACTCGAAGATCATCAGTTACAGGTAACCAACCTGTTTTTTACAATCATAACGAATTATTACAAGAGAGAAATTAATGACTTTCTGTGAAGCATAAGTTTAGTCAGTAGAGCATTGCATGATACTTACTGTTTTGTAATTGGAATCGTGCTTGTATTGGGCTTCTGCACACACATCTGTAGACTTAGAAGTGTTTATATTCATGGTATATGTTTAGAAAGCCTTGCAGATTGGACAGTGTCAAAACTGGTCATGTTTTTGCAGTTCTGCAAGTATTGGGTTAACAGTTGTGTGTTTTGTTTAGATCCCACCCATGTGATGGGTCTTTATCCTGAACTGTTGCCTAGTGATTACAAGAAACAGCTCCAGTATCCCAATCCTGTGCCTGTTCTGTCTCCGGCAGAACTGGAGAAAGCACATTTGGCACTTATAGACTACTTAACTCAAGTAAGAATTCAACACTTATAGTGGACATCCTGCTCTCGGTGGTGGCTATTTGTGTGAATGACATGTCATAGGCCAGTAATAAGCTGTATCTTACTGTCTCCTGGACTTTTTTTACACATGTTAGGTGAGCTAATATATGTGGTGAGCTTTGATATGATGAGGTGTCAGAGTAGTCACATAAATAACTGACATGCTTTTTAAAAGAAATCTCTATCTTGGTTGTTACCTCATCTGTTTGCTAGTTTGCTGCTGCTGTTTGTACAGCGCAAAAGACAAATCACTTCCCCTAAGGAGTTGATAATCTGAATCTGACAGTAGGAAGTGATAATAAAAGGGGAAATGAGTGGGCAAGGCTGACAAACTAATATAAAGAAATGAGAAGGCCAGGAGAATGAGGAGTGAATAAGCAAATGCCTTTGAGTAACAAGGCTGCAGTAGCACCCGCCCCCCTTCTTGATCTATATAGGAGAGGTTTAGCATTTACTCCTCTTGATTTTGTCTCTTAATTTCTTCAGAAAAGAAGTCAGTTGGTGAAGAAATTGAATGACTCAGATCATCAGTCCAGTACTTCTCCCCTTATGGATGGCATCCCCACCATCAAATCCAAGAAGAAACTGCTGCAGATCATTGACACAACCCTGTTGAAATGCTATCTTCATGTGAGTCCTCTGCTTCTGATAGATGGGCTGCTGTTGCATGTCAGGCATTAGGAATAGCATCAAAAAATTCAGTTGCGTTTAAGGCCTTCTGTGAGTTTAGAGACTAAGATGGAGGTCTGAACAGTGAGGTTGTCTAGAAGGGTTGTCTTTGTGGTTAATCCAAATGTATATTTCTTTGTCATGGTGTCAACATGAAACTGTTAACTTCCTCTCCACACATCTCCAGAGCATGTGCGCGTAAAAGTTTCCTTTTTAATTAATAAGTCAATTAATGAACAGGTAAATACTTATATGCAACATTTTAAAATAATAATAATAATTAAAAAGCAGACAAGCACCATGAAGTATGATGGGGGTGGGGTGAGAGAGGGAGGAAAGGAGCCCAGCTTTCTACTAGTTTTATGCATTTTTGGTCCCCTCTATGCCAGGAGGAAGCCAGGCTCATTCACAGTTCCTTTAGATTTCATTTTAATTCCAGAGTGGTGCCAGATAATTCCAGAGTGGTGTCAGTCTGTTGCAGCAAGAATAGGCAGGAGTCTTCTGGCACCTTTAGGAATTAACAAAATTTTATACCAGCATACGTTTTCATGGACTATAGTACACTTTGTCAGATGCTTCAGAAGTGGGCTCTATCTCACAAAAGGTTTATGCTGGAAAAAATATTGTTAGTCTTTAAGATGCCACAAAACTCTGTCAATTTCAATTGAAAATAGACACCTATACTTTGCAGTTTATTTTATAAATTTTAACTGCCCATATCTCAGTGGTCAGGAGATCAGCACAGGCAGTAGTAGATAGCACCACAGTGCAGTTTCTGGATGTGGATTCCATAGTTTTCTTATAGCTTTTTTTGTCAATTTTTTATTTAGGATATAAACATTCATAATCAACATTAAATTTTTTACATTTGTCCCTTTCATACCCTACCCACCTCCCTTTTCCCCTCCCTAATATATGGTTTCCCACAGTGCTTTGACCTCCTGCTCATCTCTTTATTAATTTTTACAACAACAATTTTCTTTTTTAATTCACTAGGTAACTATTATTTCACTATAGTAATTAATTTTTAACTTATCCTATCTCCCAAGCTGGTTTTCCTATAGCTTAAAGCAGGGGTCATTTCATAGAAAAAGAGGTGCAAGAGCTCATTAGCATAACTCATTAGCATAAGTTATTTGCATATGCTGCACCCCCTGACATCACTGGAAGTACGTCAGAAGGCGAGAGAGGGCGAGAGAGAGAGAGAGGGAGAGAGAGAGAGAGAGAGAGAGAGAGAGAGAGAGATGGGAAGGAAGGAGAAAGAAAGCAAATAGGGAGAGAGGAGTGGGAGGGAGGGAGGGAGGAGAGAGCTGGAAATGCTCAGATTTAACCCCCCCCCCCTCCCCGAGTCTCTCTGCAAAAGCGGAGAGGCTCAGGGGAGAGGCAGGCATGTCTGGGTTCCCTGCTTGATCTTCTCCAAGTGCCCTGCAACTGCGGGGCACCTAATACTAAAGAGGTGGAACAGAGGCAGCTGCAGTAATGTTTCCACAATGTGCCATTGCACATTTCTGCTGTGCATATGGCGGTAATTGCTGCTTAGCTCACCTAGTTAGCAATGAGTAGCCAGTCAGTAACTGGCAAAAGACATTTACCAGATTAGCAGCCTAGATTTTGCTTGGTTTTTAATTGCATGATTGGCAAGTTGTCGGACCCTCCCTCCCTTTTTAACAGCATAAAAACTGGTTGGCTCCATCCCAGTGTAGGGTAAATTCGTATTTGTTTATGTTGAATCTTGATGATTGGTTGTTTTGACACTGCCATTTTATTGTTCAGCTCTGTTTTTTGTTTAATCATTAATTGTTTTAATGATTTTTGGTTAAACACTGAGACTGGATCAGAGTTGAGAGCCAGTGGATTGGTTCTTGGGTGTTCCAGATAAAAAGTTGACTAAAGAAGGGAGAGGTGCTGCATTTAAATAAAAAATAAATAAACAAACCAGCAGGAGAAACGTATTTGAAAATCTTGGGTACCTCTCTTCGAAGTATTGGAAAGAAATTAATGGCAAGCTTTGATCAGTTCCTTACTAAATGTATAGCCCTTTGTGTGAGATGCTTATTAAATGATTTTATATTAAATGTCCTTGTTAATTAGTACCTCTTAGCATAAATATCTTCCTTTCCTTGATTTGCAGTTTGGTACCTTTTGGGTTCATGATAAACTGTTTTTGATTTCCTTAAATTACCCTTCTCTACTGGCAGACCAATGTAGCCCTAGTGGCACCACTCTTGCGCCTGGAGAACAACCACTGCCACATTGAAGAAAGTGAGCTTGTGCTCAAGAAAGCTCACAAATACAGTGAACTGATCATACTGTATGAAAAGAAAGGTCTGCATGACAAAGGTAAATGGTGGGTGGCGGTGGTTTGTGTCCAAGACTTTAGCAAATGGTACAAGTTCACAGAAGTGATCTTTGCCTTGCAGCCTCCTGTGCTCCTGAAGTTCAGGGTGCCCTTTACTTGCATGGGATGTAGGTGGTGGAGTGCTGCAGCATAAAAAGGGAATTGGCAGAAAAGATTCCCCTGTTCCCCCACATGAGCTTTTGCTGCATCACAGAAACAATGTTAATGACAAAATTTAGGTGTAAAGATCTAGAGCTGCTATGGAGGTAGGGTGGGGTGTGTGTGATACTTTGAGGGGCATCCTTCAGTTCTTTATCGGTCTTCATGGCATCCCATAGGAAACTTTTAAATTTAATGCAGCCATTCCTTATTTAATGGATTATGTTTCAGTGCAGATGAAAACTGATTGCCTCTAATTTGTGCTGGTGGCAAACATTTTTGTTTTGTGTTAAGGAATATTAGTCTTGCCAGGAGGCTGCTTAACTTAAGAGATGATCTCCATTGTAATTTCTTCTGTTTTGCTAAAGCTTTGCAGGTACTAGTGGATCAGTCAAAGAAAGCTAACTCACCTTTGAAGGGTCATGAGAGGACAGTGCAGTACTTGCAACATTTGGGTGAGTGCAGTTAAAGAATGTAACTTCTAAATTTTATTTCCACTTTTCAGCCAAACAAAAGTCCTTCAAGATAGCTCACAAAAACAGGTTAATTGTTTTCATAAAATTAGAATCTAGATCTGGTTTTTACTTCGTTGACTAAAACAGCAGATACCAGTCATCAGCCCAACCTGAGCATAAGTAAAACAAACAACTTTTCATTTGGTTACAAAAATTCTGAAAGGCCTGGCAAGGCATCCTTGGGAGTGCATGCAGAAATTCCCGAGGATTCTGCAGAAAATCTCTCCTAAATGGAAGGCATTCCATCCCAAAAGTGTGAATCTCTTTCCTACCCTTCTGCTGCTGCCACCCAGAATGCTCTCAGCAGCATGAAGGAGGGAGTGGGAGGGAGGAATTGGCAAAAATCACTACCTCCTCTGTTCGCAGACATTCTCTGGTGGATCAATGCATGTTGCATTGAAGACCCTGCCTTCTTAAGCCACTGATCTCCCTTCCTTTGCCTCCTCCTTCGAATGTCAGATCTCATGAAATGCCCTCAATAAGGAGATGATGCTTTTATGGCAGAAGGCATTTTCTAAGGTGCTCTGGATCTTTTAGGGTCTTGAATTAAAACTGGCCCCTTGGCTACATGTTTCCAGGCCCAACTCAATGGAGCATTTTTAATACATTCTGCAGCATATCCAGCCAAATTCCAGTCAGTCTGTACGGGATATATATAGAGATGTGCAAGTTGTCACGTGCACCTTGCTACATTCATAGGCCATGTCCTTGAAAAGTGGTTCTTTAAGTTGCCATCTGCTTTGTTTCTTGTTCCAGGCTCAGAGAACTTGAACTTAATATTTGCCTATTCTGTTTGGGTGCTTAGAGATTTCCCTGAGGATGGATTGAAAGTAAGTACACTTGCTAATATTTGAAAATAAAAGAAGGTAAAGAGCCCATTTGCTATTCTGAAAGCAAAGTAAATGCACGTAAGTAGGCAGTGGTAGTATTTTGTCTTGGTCAACTCGTAATCAACTCTCGATCTGTGTGACGAATGAACACACTGAAGGTGTGGTGGTTACATTGTTGGACTAGGTCCACAGTGGTGGCGAACTTATGGCACGGGTGCCAGAGGTGGCACTCAGAGCCCTCTCTGTGGGCACACGTGCCATCGCCCCAGCCAGGCCCAGACCATCATTAAAATGTCGAATTCTCTGCCAAATAATTTTAAGTAAATGGAAGCCTTTGGGATTGCTTTCCTTACTTTGTTTGGATCATCTTAAGTTAATGTACGAGTTGTTTTTTCGAAAGTAAAACCTCAGTATTCAGGTTAAATTGCCGTGTTGGCACCTTGCGATAAATAGGTGGGTTTTGGGTCGCAGTTTGGGCACTCGGTCTCTAAAAGGTTCACCATCACTGGACTAGGATCTGGGAGATCTGGGTTTCAGTTCTCACTTCGTTGTGGAAGATTGCTTGGTGACTTTGGGCCAGTCACACACACTCTGCTTAACCTGCTTCAGAGGGGTGTTATTGAGGATAAAATTGAGGAGGGGAGAATGATGTAAGCTGCTTTGGGTCCTCCTTGATGAGAAGTGTGGTATAAATGAAGTAAATGTTACGACCCCAAAATGGAATCCACTTTAAATTGGCAACTGTTCCCACATGACAAGCCATTCATGTGCAGTAGCTTTTATTACAGCTGGGGCAATTTCCACCCCACTGCCACATATATCCCCCCCCCCAAGCTACTGTACTTCATATAGCCATATTACAGATCTGCAGAATGGGTTGAGTGAAACATTGGGCCTATCATGAGGGTTTCCCTCATCAGCTTGATTGAAAGATATCCTTAACATTGGGTTACACACCTCCATTATGCATGTAGCAAGTTTCACAACAGTATTTGATGCTTGCTGTGAGCTTTTCCTTTCTTCTCAAAAGCCTGTTTTGCTTGTCCTTGTTTGCCGTATTTTTAGATTAGATTAATCAAATTGAAGAGTTCTTTTGAGCTCCAAAATAGTAAACTAGCCAAGTAATTCTGCCTTGAGAAGATGAAATTGGCACAGGCGGCATCAAATCTCCATTATTTGCTGCTTAGGTGACTGCTGGTGAAGTTCCAGAGAGGATAGCCATGTTAACAGCTCTGGCTCACAACAGCTTCTATTAGCTTTGTAGTGCCATAGGGCGTTTTATTTTGAGGTCTAGAGAACAACTTACTACTGGGGATGAGGGGGAGTAGAAAGGAGAAAAGGATCACCACTAGGAATTTCTGGCCTTACGTTGTGCTTTCCTCATGAAAAGACTGATGATGTAGAAAAGCTTCACAGCTTGTAGATGCTGGGTCTTTGTTGGCTTCAGGAGGATTTTTTAAAAAAAACCACAAGAACATGAAGGCATATTTTAAGTGCTAGGTATTATCAGTGAACACTTTAGTAAGTGTCTTACATTAATAATATGCCACCTTAATATGTGACTGTGATCACTAGCTAAAAGTGAGTGTAGATAAAATAGTAGCAAATTTTGCTCATTAAGCGTGTAATCCTAAACAGAACCTACTCTTCTAAATTCAGTGAAGTCAGTGGGTTTAGGAACGATGTAACTGCTTATGATTTTACTTTGGGCCAGATACATATAGGCCAGGGACTGGCTAAATTTCTCAGTTCCTGAAACCCTGCTCACTTTGTGTGATGTAGCAACATCTCTAGCTAGGTAATGCTGCTTCTTCACACCATGTAGAAAGAGCAGAAGTACCAGCAGAGTTTGTTGAAAGCAGTAATCTGGGCAAATTTACAGGGGAGTCTTGCTGATGGGCTTAAAAAAGTGTACTGGTGGGTTGTGTGGTCTGTAAGGCCCGAACAGTTAAAAATAAAAATCACCTAGATCACCTGTTCAAAACATTTTGAAATGTATTTTTACAGGATTGCAACTGTGTTCTGCTGTATAGTATGCTGTCTGCAGATTGTTCAGGGGGCTACTTGCATGGGCTTGTGAATGAAAACCTTTCACTGTGGCTGTGCCATGTATAAACCTATGACTTCAACTTTTGTCTGGCAGATATTTACAGAAGATCTACCTGAGGTGGAAGCCCTCCCACGTGAAAGGGTTCTTAACTTCCTGCGGGAGAATTTTAAAAGTTTGGCTATTCCTTACTTGGTAAGAACATAGATTGCAGCAAAATGGTTTGTTCTGATTAGTAGCTCTTGCATATCAAACCTCTAGAGGGTTACATCAGATAGATTTCTGAAGATAAATGAATTGTATTCATAAATTTAAAAACAATAAATCTGTAATATATCAGTGGGTAGTCTATGAGGTGCTTTTAATCATTATTTTGGGGGGAGTTTCTAGCTTAAATGAAGGGATGGAAGTGAAATGGTTTGTTTTGATCACATTTTTGAAATTTTGGTGGAAGGAGGAGAGTCTTCTACAATCAACTTCCATACATCAGATATGTACATGTATTCACAGGAACATATAATCCATATCTGGGAAGAGGCTGGTTCAGAATTCCACAACTGCCTAATTCAGCTTTACTGTGAGAAAGTGCAAGACTTAATGAAAGAGTATCTCACCTCTTTTCCTCCAGGTAATTCATGGTCTACTTCAATTTACAAAAATACAACGGACCTCTATCCAAACTATGTAAAAAGGAGGTTGTAGACAAAGCATATTTCAGGAAGGGTGGTTCTGTAGATTCCAGGCCACTAGTTCTATGCGACACATTTTGTTTCTCCATCTGTGTTGTCATTTTTAAAAATAAAAGGGCTTTTTATATGAGATATTCAGAAATGCCTTGTTGTCATTAACATCAGACAGAGAAATGATCCTTTATCATAACATCTAATGGGAATGGGGCTTTATAGAGAATTTAATTTTACTGTGTTGCTTGTATTCTGTTATTATTAACAGATGCAGTTCTTCTTGCCTTGCAGATAAAACACCAGTGCCAGCTGGAGAGGAGGAAGGAGAACTAGGAGAGTATCGGCAAAAACTTCTTTTCTTTCTTGAGACTTCCAGTTGCTATGATGCCGAGCAGCTTATCAGTGACTTTCCCTTTGATGGTAAGAAGTGGTTGAATAATGTTGAAGTCCTTTCATGCTGGGTGTCAGTCAGCTGTGTTTATTTCAGTGAATGCAAACGGATTCTCATGTGTAATTAATGAAAGGATTCTCGTTTGTGTCTCTGCTGGCCTGTGACAAAAGACCTGCTGCTGTCTGTAACAGCTCTTTGTAATTGCCTCCTGTAGTCTACAGAAGATGATAGCTTTGTTTTATGTTAAGATAAACATACAAAATGCTTCTATGTTGAGCTTGCTGGGTGACCTTGGGCCAGTCACATACTCAGTCTAACCCACCTCACAGGGTTCTTGTGAGGGTAAAATGGAGGCAAGGAGAACAATGATCTTTACTTTGCCATGATAGTTTTCTGAGTGACCTTTGTGCCCTGGCCTTCCTCACAGGCCTGTGAGGATAAACTGGAGGAGAGGAGAGCTGTGCAGGCCACTCCTTGGTTGGAGGGTGGATACAAATGTTCTAAATAAACAAATCCAGCTGGAAACTGCCGCAGGAACTGCCATTGAAGAGAATGGGAGCAGAAGGGAACCATCTATTACATAATCTGCTTTGAGAGACCAGCCAGTTGAGTTCTTGTTAGAATTTAAAAAGTCCTTGTATCTTTTGCTTCTGCAAGCTCAAAAATGTCTGCGGCAGTTAGGTTTGGGGAGAGTGTTCCCATTCTGTCTTCCTGCAGAGATGGCAGCTCATGCTTGTTCTTCTTTGTGCTAGGATTCGGCTAAACATTAGAAAGAACTTCCTGACAGTGCGGTTCCTCAGTGGAACAGGCTTCCTCGGAAGGTGGTGGGCTCTCCTTCTTTGGAGGTTTTAAAGCAGAGGTTATATGGTCATCTGTCAGCAATGCTGATTCTGTGAACTTAGGCAGATCATGAGAAGGAGGGCAGGAAGGGTTGCATCAGTGCTTAGTTCTTGTGGTCCTTTCTTATACGCCCAGGGAAATACCGGTTGCCACTTTGGTGTCAGGAAGCAATTTTTCTTTAGGACAGTTTAGCCAGGGATCCTAGTGGTTTTTCCCCTTTTTCTGGGCATGGAGCAGGGGTCACTTGGGTGTGCGTGGTGGGGAGGTATTTGTGAATTTTCTGCATTATGCAGGGGGTTGGACTAGATGACCCTGGCAGTCCCTTCCAACTCTATGATTCTGTGTAACTGAAAAATGGTATACAGTAGAATAAACAGATGTGGCTGCCAATGACCTCTAGAATAGTCAGAGTTTACTGTTGAGTCTGTGCCTGTAATGTAAGGTAAGTATTTCTCTTCACTCTCTGCTGATTAGTTTATTTCTTATTTTTCAGTAATTTTCACAACTTGGTCTCATAGACCATTTTTATCAGTTGATGTTGCAATTGAGTTCAGTAACTGCTATTTTGTACTCCTGCCCTCAGGCCTTCTAGAAGAACGTGCATTGCTGCTGGGACGGATGGGAAATCATGAACAGGCACTCTTTATATATGTGCACATCCTGAAGGATACCAAAATGGCTGAAAAGTATGTTGTTGTTTTGATCTACTTTGATCAGTGTTTCTTATCTGTTTGGGTGGTGTGTGTGTATGTGTATGTATGTATTTATTTTATTTTTATTTTATTAATTTAATTTATGCCCGGCTTGATGAGTGGGGGTCGTTACATATTGGTAGAGTCCCAGTGCCGCCACGGACGACACCAGGTCCATTGCCTGAGTGGAGGTCGCGTCATCAGCATGGACATTGAAATCACCCAGGACTATCAGTCTAGGGTGTTCCCAGCCTGATACGGCCTCCATCAGGGACGGCAGGCTATCGGCTGGAGTGTGAGGTGGTCGGTACACCAGCCAAATTGCCAAACTCTCCCCAGCCTCCCACACCAGGCCAGCACACTCGATACCCCTGATCTTTGGCGGCGGGAGCGCCCTGAAGGAGTAAGCCTCCCGAATGAACGGAGCCACTTCCCCCTTGGTCTGTGATCGGTGAACGACCAAGAACCCAGGAGGAGCTAACTGGGAGAGAGCTACTGTCTCCCCATCTCGCACTCAGGTCTCGGTCATGAACGCCAGGTCCATATCCTGTTCCAGCAGGAAGTCACGGAAGACCATGGTCTTATTATTTATGGACCTGGCGTTACACAACACCAATGTCGGAGAGGGGTTGTTAGTCCAAGCCCCACTGCCAACTACCTTTGGGATGGGACGTAGGCTGGAAGGGTACCGAGCCTTTCTGTTTCTCCATCCCCTTCCCTTCCCTTTATGCCTAGTCCCACCGCTTTACTTTCCCCTCCCCAGGAGCACTGGTATCCCTTGGCCAGCCATTGGCAGTAATGGTCTTCGCTAAGCCACAGACCACTAATAGGCTGTTTGGTAGGTGGGAATGTAGGGGTTCTGTAGCAGTTCTCTCTGTAGTAATAGTTGTCCTAGATAAACTCAAACAAGCCTAATTTATCCTAACATTAATTAATTCTAATGGTCTAACAATTTGGTGCAGAAATCACTCTCATGCACTCATCAGTAAAAAAATAAAGGCCAGTGATAACATCCCAATTTACCATATAGCTCTAACTATAAGTTCCAACCACCCAATTTGTTAGATATCAAGTTACACACAAAAACAACTCATAGGATAATTAGTCCCTAGCAATCAGTTGATTAATCCCATACAATTCATTCCATTGCTCTAATCTATCAAGATTTTAAGTCTCTGTTCATCCCTTCAATTGCTCCCACATTTAGACCTTAATCAATTGTAATAATTACCCTACTATAGGTACCCCCAACTAACATCAACTAACATCAACATGTATGTATGTATGCAGTCTGGAGTTTTCACCTTACCTTAGCTTCCTGTCGGCTGACATTACCATAGTTTAAATGTTGCATTAGCTTGTAGCGAGATATGGGAACTCAAGCAGGTGCCTGCTATACTGATTAGTTTCTCAGATTTATGCTGGAGAGTTGTTTAGGAGTTGCCAGCAAAACATTCTTTTTTCATTTGGCTTACTGAAGACCACTTTAATGGTAATCTTATGATTTCTTCACTTGTTTTACAGTAAAAACCTATATTAGATCATTGTAATTAGAGAGGAGAGAGAGGACAGAACTAAAGTAGTTTTGTCAATAACTAAAAAAGTAAATAGGAATTAGCAAGTACATTGATGATTGATATACAGATAGATGATTTCCTGAAATAGGTAAAGATACCTTTTAAAACAAATTTATCTTGAAAGTGTTATGTATTTGATGTATGGTCATCCGTTGCCACATTTGAGCTTTCATTTTGCTAAATGAAAAATACATTTAAATGCTGTTTAGTATTCTCTGGTAATTGTTAGCTAATATGTCTGGGCAAGTAACCCTGTTGATAGGTTTCGACCACTATGAATTTTCTGTTGATACTGTTTCAGTTACTGTCACAAACACTATGACAGAAGCAAAGATGGCAGCAAAGATGTGAGTATTTTATTTTCAATCATCTTTAAATTAATGCTGCAAATTTTACAAAATACATTTTTCTTAGTTGTCCAGTTTTTATTTATTTTAGTTTTTGCATTTTTTACCCCTCCCTCCCTGCGAATGTTAACAAATTGTATTAATGCGGTTCAAACCAAAGAAGACCTTATATTATAAACAAATGAGTTTACAAGTTTGGGTTTTATAAGTACCTTAGAAACATGCCAAGATTATTATGTAGCTTCTGTTATATAAACTACTTTGTAGACACAGCAATATATTTTTTCCTACCTACATGCATTAGCATGTTTTTACAATTTTTGCTGCTCTGTCAAATTACCCATAATTTCTGTATAATCCATCCTGAAGGATATGCTTGGTGGATTCAACTTTCAACAGTGCTTTACAAGCATGGCTGAATATGTGTCCTGGTTCAGTTTTTATTTATGAATGTACAGACTGACGTAAAACGTTGTTCTAGAACACCAAGGGAGCAAAATTTCAATGATGAAAAATATAAGGGCTAGCATAGCTACTGGAATACTAATTTTTTTCATTAATTAGCATACTGGAGAATACATTTTGTGCCAAATTAAGCGGTTGCATTAAAGGCAGGCAGGAAAAGATAGTGGAAAACAAAGTTTTCATGTATAAACACATTCTTATAAAAGCAGGTTTTTAGGATGCAGTAGCCAGGAGATCTTGGTAGGTAGGTAGGGTTTCACCCCCCCAGAATTGTTGGTGCTACAAAGACAAATTGCTACTAAAGCTTTTAAATCTTGGGAGTGTTGTAATTTAAAAGCTACAGTTTCATTAATTCCACTCATTTGGCCAAGCAGTAAGGTCCTGTGATGCATATACTGCTTGAAATGGCTTCACTTCTTCCACTGGGGATGTAACCAGTCTATTAGCTCGTTCTTTTTACAGGTATGGACCATCTCTGTCTACTGAAGTTAGTAGAAATCATTAGGACATGGGTGTCAAACTCATTTGTTATGAGGGCTTACTCCCAGGATAAATGTTTTCAGGATTTCAGTCTAAATCTGTAATAAGTTTGATTTAGACTTCAGTCCAGAGCTACAGTCCTTACAGACTACCACTACAATGGTGATTTAGAGCTTCTAACTGAAACAAAGATGCTTTTGGCACCAGATTCTAAACAAGGTTATCACACTCATTTGTTAGAGGACTGGATCTGACGTGAATGGGACTTTGCTGGGCCGGGCCATGTGTGTCATAAAATGTAGCCTGGTGGCGTAGATATAAACTTTTTGTATTTAACCTTAAAATACAGTAACACTCTTGCGATATTTTGGCTGCGGTCACACGTAACAGAAGCCACACAAGTGAGACGGAAAACAGGCGGAGTTTCCGGGCACGATCTCACCAGTACATCTGGGAAGCGTAGCACTCCCGTGGCTCAACCGAGGCTTCCAGCCGAAACTGCGTGGCAAAAAACTAGTACCTTGGAGGTACTAGTTTCCGGAAACTGCGGGGCAAGGGCGGGGGTCTGATCGCGTTTCCGGTGGCATCCGGCGCCCGCCCATGTCTCCTTGCAAATAAGGTGGGTTTTTTTGTCCAAGTCTCTGTGGATGCGCATGCGCACCCAACGGAACATGCGCATTTGTCATGTACACAAAAATAAAAAACAGTTTGCCGCGGCGCGCACTTCTTCGTTGCGCGCCGGCTTGTCCTGTGATCGGCACCTCTCCCTTGCCATGGAACCTCCACGGGACCTCCACAATACCTCCACAGGAGGTCTGATCGCGTAACTGCGCAGTAGTTTGCCCCAGGGCAAACAGCCACGCTTCTCCTCTGCAGTTTCCTGCCCGTGTGACCGGGGCCTTTATTTAACAGTCTTTGATAACTGACCCCTCCCAACCCCCCCCCCCTTAAAAGATACCTGCCTAAAATGAAAAGGTGTGGGAATAGTGGGATTTGACAGTGCAGTTTTTTAAATAAAACATTAAGAAAAAGCACAAGGTTCATAGCAGAAACTAAAAATATAAACTAAAACTATAAAATGTTCTGAGCCTAGGAAAATATCAAATGACTGGGCATTGCAAGCTCCCCCCCCCCCCAGGCTCTCCGGGGTCTCAGGTTTTTTTATAGGGTGGTTTGAGATAGTAATTTTGGGGGGACGTGCTAAAAGGAATGAAAGGATTGCCCATTGGAAACAATGGGAGAGGCTTGGAGATAATGGGAGCAAAGAATATCAATTGACTTGCATGGGCTCCATTGAAATACATTGCAGCACAAAAAAAGTTGCAAAGAAAATGTGGAATGGATTTTCCATTAAGGTCTCTGGGCCCAGATAGGCTATTCTGGGAATGGAAAATCCATTCCACATTTTCTTTGCATTTTTTTTTTGTGTGTTGCAGTGTATTTCAGTGGAGCCCAGAGGAGCTTCTGGCTGGAGGAGAAGCCAGCGAAGAAGAGCTGGGAAGTTTGGCAGCCCTGCCCTCTGCTTCCTGTGCTTAGTGTCAGCTCAAGCCTGAGTTTGGAAAGGTGAGGACAGGCAGGGGAGCGGGTGGGAGAGGAGAAGAGAGCCACGGGGCGGATTAAAACCTGGGTGGTGGTGGTGGTGGATGGTTCTGGCCCCTGCACCACAGCTTTTACTCCCCTGCATTAGGAGTTCAGAGGCATATCAGAAGTCCTAGACTGTATACTGACGATTTAATCTAGCACATCTAGATTATGATATACAAATGCTATGTGACCACCCTTGCATTTGAGCATGAACAAAAGTTCTTCAGTAGACAATTACTGCTGTGAGGTTAAATGGGCTTCCCTCAGTTGTGGACTGGCATGCTCAATGTCAAGGCATTTTATTAATTAAATTTACTTTACTTTGTAGCCTCCTTTTTCACAGAGATTGAAGGCAGATTACAAAATGTAAAATAAATGGGGTCAGCATAAAATGTTCAATGAACAATGCAATAGGACTAAGATTGCATTGCTTTCTAATTCTGCAACCAAAAACAGTATAAGATGTGACATACCATAGACAGTGCAGAGTAAGGATTACAAAGGTAGAAGACAGTGTAATATGAGCAAGATAATATATGTAGTAAACATTGGAATAGACTACAATCCTATTCCCTTTATAAAAGCACCCTTTAGAACCATTCCATTATATTACAAAGATTATCTTCAGTGGTTTGTTTTGTTTCATACAGGTGTACTTGTCTCTGCTCCGAATGTACCTCTCACCGCCTAGTGTCCATTGCTTAGGACCAATCAAGATGGAACTTTTGGAACCTCAAGCTAATCTCCAGGCTGCATTGCAAGTTTTGGAACTTCATCACAGCAAGCTGGACACTACCAAAGTAAGGATATTTTTAGAATGGTGATGTGAGTGGTACACAGGTTGTAATGCTTCTGCATGAGGAAACAAACTTCTGTACATGAAATAGTCCTTGTCCTCCCACAAGCAGTGTTTCTAGCATGTAACATTAGTCTGTAAGTGAAAAACTTTGCAGGAGGCTTTTTCTCTACTTAAGACATACTGCAGAAGTGCAAAAATCAAGTCCAGAGGAGCAGTAGGACTATTGGAAACAATTTTAGGAAACACTTTAGTGCCAGTATCATGTTTTCTATTTGTGTATCTGTAGGCAATAAACCTCCTCCCAGCCAACACTCAAATTAGTGAGATCCGAATCTTCCTGGAAAAGGTCCTTGAAGAAAATGCACAGAAGAAGCGATTCAGTCAAGTACTTAAGAACCTTCTCCATGCTGAATTCTTGAGAGTATGTATTCATCTTTTTTATTCATGTTTATCAAGGGGGAGATTTAAAACAAATACTTGGTATATTTTGAGGCATTGCCTCCAGATACGAGAGATCATGGGTAATCGAAAAGAATATTAACCTACAATATGTGACATTTTAGCTGCCTTGTGTGCGTTTGCTATCCTGGGCTCATTGTTCTTATGTTTTTTATAGATACAGGAGGAACGGATCGTACACCAGCAAGTAAAATGTATAATCACAGAGGAAAAAGTTTGCAGTGTATGTAAAAAAAAGATTGGAAATAGGTATGTGAAATAGGGTCATAAAAATATGTTTGTTTTTATGTATTGTCTTTGTGACCCTTTCCATTTCATTTACTTTCATTTCTCTTGTCCCTGACTGGGTCTGTTTCTTTTCTCCCACTGTGTACCATTTATATTATGCACTGTTTATACACCCATTGACAAAAAAGGTAAAAATTGTGTAATTGTGTAAATATAGCTGTAAAAATGTGTTGCAAGGAAACAGAAAATGGTGCAAGAATTGAGAGTTGTAGTCACACAAGACAGAAGCAAAACAGGATTTTTTTGAGTAAACAATGCTGGGTTGTGAGATTAGTCAGCATCCCTAAAGTAAATAAGCCTGTAACATAGATATTTCTATTCAACCTGCTTTTTTGCAGAGATTTCTATAGAAGAACATTGGAATGGAGTTGGAACCAGTTTGGCTCCTGAGGCAGTTTCAGAATCTATCAAATTCGTTGTGTGATCTTATTGTAGAGATGCAGCTGACCGGAGAGTGAGCAGTTTGGGATTATATGTGCTTAGTCCTACATTCTGTCCTGATCATAATGTGACTTCCAATTTTTTTAGTGCCAACATAGATGGCTTTTGGAGCTATTTTTAAAATCCAAATACTCTATAAATTGCTTATACGAGAGCAAATATATACAACTGTAGAGCACAGCACCACAACGAAAACAAGATATCAACAAAACTTTAAAAACAGTAGCAGAGAGGTTTTGATGCTAACATAAAATCAGTGCTTCCCTGAGGTTAAGATATACTAGATCTTTGCTCTTCTAAAGTTTTGTTCTTTGTAGAAAAATGTATGTGTGTGTGAAAATCAAATGTATGTGTGAAAATCATAACTGTACTTGAACTGATACAGTGACTTTCTTCTTTCCATAGTGCCTTTGCCCACTATCCCAATGGAGTAGTTGTGCATTATTTCTGTTCCAAAGAAGTCGGTACAGCAGACACCTGAAAGGATTGACCTATATAACATGAACGGCAGTAGCTATGATGCTTATGTGGAAGGAGAGAGGAGGCGATCAAACAAGCAAAGGCATCTCTAAACTTCTGAGCCCTGTTGCTTTCAAACAGCTTAAGCTCAAAGTGGCTCCATCAGATGACTCTACTTGTACTTTGCCAATATTGGCTTAGTACCTATTTTTCAGTATACTCACTGTAGGATAACCTCTGCACTTTTGCATGAGGAAGGATGAAAACAGCAATGAGTAGCCATTGCACTCCAGATCTTGCAGTAGTAATCTTTAGACAAGTCTCAAATATCAACCAAGGATAGTCAAATGATGATGATGGATGGGAGATGTTTTGTGTTGGATTCCACATTCCAATCATAGGGGGAAAAAACACCTTTTGTCATCATTTAATCAGCTTTCTATTGAGATTTACTTCTATCAGCTGGTGCTTCTAGAATGACTATTCCTGGATTTCCTTCTCCCTTTTGTTAGAAATAAGTCGATATGAGCCACAGAATTGTTACCATTTGTACCCAGAATGGTTATCACTGATATAAAAAGTTCCAAGCGGTTCTAGTCTCATACGGTGTGATAGAAACTGGCAAACACGTATTTTCCCTTTTCAGTTTGCTCTTGAGAAGTATGTAAATACAAACTATTTGCACTGTGTACAGTCATTCCTGTTACTAATTAATAAAAAGTCACAATGATTGTTTCATGGGACAGGGAACAGGCATCTGCACTTGTACCAAAAATTAAAAACAGTCTGTTTAACATCCTCACTTGGAAAAATAGGGGTGTGTGTGTCTTACCGCTTAAGTATTTAGTCAAGACTTTGGAGTTACCATTGCTTGTAAATGCTTTTTATTCAGTCTCCAGCACATTATACCCCATTCAGACTTGTGCTTTCTGTGACTTTCTGTACCTGAATCGCATTACTAATGGAAAATTTTGGTTTGCACATGCCCTTAAACGCTGTAGCATTTTTGTTGTAACATTTTTTTCTGCAAAAATTAATATGTGAAGAGAACATACATGTATATATGTGTTCACAAGAATGCAGAAGTGTTCAGAGCAGCAATTCATGGAGAGAGCAGTTGGTTCAGAATAGCTGTATGGGGAATTTTCCTCAACATCCCAGTCCAGCTGTGGGGTTTTTAAATTAATACTTGTAATCATTTAGCAAGTTGGGCATATAGAGTTCATTTCCAGGTTTTGCCAAAAAATCCTGACAAGTAGACTGAGGAAATTAAGGTACAGTAAAACCTTCTTGTATGGTGACTGGATTTCTCTGAGTTTCTAGCCAATTTGTTGAAGCACAAGGATAAATGGTAATACATACTGAATCTTCTCTAAAGCAGCTTGGCCTTCTGTAGCAGTTGCTTCGCTGGTTTTCTCCATGACATTTCCATTAAAGTATATCCTCAAGGTCACATCTACAGCATTTTGGGCAGTAAGTCTTCAGGTTCGGGATTTGTTCTTGTGAAGTTTTTTGTTATTCTATTTTTTCTGTTTGAAGAAGAGAACACATAACGCCACTGGATTTTGTTTGTGCATTTATTAAGATACCTTTGCTATGTACTACAGATTTGAGGGGTTTGGAGTCTTGGAGATTTAGGCATATGTAACTGACAACAAATGGAAGCTATTGTATAAACTCAATCATCTGCAGCCCATTCTGACCCTAACAGTACACAATTGAGTCTATCTGCTGCCAATAAAATTCTGTGCTGCATTTGAAGCTTTTCAAATGTACTTTTCTCTTCCACAGTGAAGCTTCTATGTGCCTCAGTTCACTTCAGTTACATACTTTTTGCAGAGATGTGGCTTGTGCTGTAATTGCCTGCTGATAGTCCTGCACAGTATCTGGGACATTAACTGTATACCAGGTTTATTTAAAGCAATAAATTATGAAGATTTGAGAAATCACCATGTTAGTGCTGCTTTTGGCTTTTTTAAAAAAAGTATTTTTATTCTTAAAATTTTATTTTCAAAATAATGGGTGTGTGTGTTGGTACTACTTTATACTAAAACATCAATTACAATTTGAGATTGATTGTGTAGATAAGATTAAGTGCACTGACAATGTAGTTCCAAAAGATGAGGCCCAGGTTCTCAACTACAACATTGTTTCTACGTAACCTTCAAAAACCAGTTATGTCTCATGCAATTCATCTGAAGTCTTGACACACAACTGAGTAACCTGCTTTCTCCCTTAGGCAATTCCTGTATGTGATCATAGCATCCTCTGTTCATTACTATGGATGGGTATGGTTCAGTGGGACTGCATATTGATTGAGGGCAATTAGCATGCTGAGGTGATGAAACAGAGGACAAAGTTAAGGCATATCTGAAGTCTTTGAAAGCTGTGAAATGTTTCTCAAGCAGGTCTGGAGATGTGGCATCAGATTTTCTAAATAAGTTATTAGATTAAGGAAGAAGTAAACTGGCCACTCTGAGTTTTGTCAAAAAGGATTTCTTTTGTTGCCAGAACTTGAGTGACACAAAATTGTCAAAGGTCCATTTAAGAATACAAGGAATGCACATATTAATTTTTTCCACACAATTTGTAAATCTAGTTTTCATGGTTTTCACTTTTAAAGCCAATGTTTTCTAATTAAAACTTCTCTAGGTATTTGACAATACATTGTGTCTAATTTAGCAATTTCCAAATTTGTGAAAAGTCTGTTAGTGGTATTTAAGTAAAAGATATAAATTAGATGTCAACCTGTATGCAGACCACATTATGTGAAACTTGTCCCCCCTCCAAAGACAAGTGAGAGAACTGCTTGTGGTTACTCACTGGTGAGGAAGTGTATTCTGCAGCTTCTCAATGTGTTCATTACAACTATATTGCAGCATTTTAGTGAACTCTGGGGTGATACTAGCAATTCCTAGTGAGACACTTCCTGTCGTGTCATCATGCAGCATATTCCTAGTGCGCTTGTCATCAGCAGTCAAGTGTTACTTGCACTTCCAGTGCTGCAGCATTCCTTGAATCATTGCTGTAGGAAGATTATTCTCTTATAATGATGCCCATGTATTACACCTATTGTGTTTTTAACGCTCACTAACTTCAAACTACGAAGCTGCGGTGGCTCAAGTGGTTAAGACGCTGAACTGCAGGCTGTGGAAGGTCAGTAGTTCAGCAGTTCGAGACCCGGGTGCCGCATGACGGAGTGAGCTCCTGTCTCTAGTTCCAGCTTCTGCCAACCTAGCAGTTCGAAAGCAAGAAATTGCAAGTAGATAAATAGGTACCACTTTAGTGGGAAGGTAACAGCGTTCCGTGTGCCTTGGTGTTTAGTCATGCCGGCCACATGACCACGGAAACTTCTTCGGACAGCGCTGGCTCTTCGGCTTTGAAACGGAGATGAGCACCACAACCCTAGAGTCGGATTCGACTGGCTTTCGAGCAAGGGAACCTTTAACTTCAAACTATGATGCTAGCTTCACAACTCTTTCCACATAAATAATCACATCTTCCCAATATGCTTTGTTGTTGTTCAGTCGCACAGTCGAGTCCGACTCTTTGCGACCCCATGGACCAGCTCCCTCCAGGCCTTCCGGTCTTCCGCCATCCTCTGAAGTTTGCTCAACTTCATGTTCGTTGCATTGATGACACTGTCTAACCATCTCATCCTTTGCCGTCCCCGTCTTCTTTGACCTTCAATCTTTCCCAGCATCAGGGTCTTCTCCAGTGAGTGCTCCCTTCTCATTTGGTGGCCAAAGTATTTTAGCTTCAGTTTCATTATCTGGCCTTCCAGGGAACAGTCAGGGTTGATTTCTTTGAGGATTGACTGATTTGTTCTTCTTGCAGTCCAAGGGACTCTCAAGAGTCTTCTCCAGCACCATAGTTCAAAAGAATCTATTCTTCTGCGCTCGGCCTTCCTTATAGTCCAACTCTCGCAGCCATACATGACTACTGGGAATACCATTGCTTTGACCATGCGGACTTTTGTTGGCAGGGTGATGTCTCTACTTTTTATCATGCTGTTTAGGTTCGCCATCGCTTTCCTCCCAAGGAGCAGGCGTCTTTTAATTTCATGACTGCTGTCACAGTCTGCGGTGATCTGGGATCCCAGGAACGTGAAGTCTGTCACTACCACGACTTCCCCTTCTATTTGCCAAGGAGTCATGGGGCTGGATGCCATGATCTTAGTTTTTTTGATGTTGAGCTTCAAGCCCACTTTTGCGCTCTCCTCTTTTACCCTGAGCAAGAGGCTCTTGAGGTCCTCTTCACTTTCTGCCATCAGAGTGGTATCGTCTGCATATCTGAGGTTGTTGATCTTTTCCCCCGCAATCTTAATTCCTGCTTGTGATTCATCTAGGCCAGCATTTCGCATGATGTACTCTGCATATATATTAAATAAGCAAGGCGACAATATACATCCTTGTCGTACTCCTTTTCCTATGCGAAACCAATCAGTTGTTCCATATCCGGTTCTAACTGTCGCTTCTTGGCCCTTATACAGGTTTCTCAAGAGACATGTGAGGTGGTCCAATATGATTTACTGTGTTCTAATTGCTATACGTCCTCTCCACCCTCCCTCCCAAATTTCCAGGTGGTTTTGCATTTATGCAGGCTGGAATTTAAACCACTTATTCCTAAACAGTTTGAGTGGTTTCAGTGAGACTCCTCTGAGAGAAAGTATTTCACTCTGAATCTGTTTTTATTATCAAAGCTCGGATGTGATATGATGAGCCGTTAAGCTCTGTATAGCCTTATCTTTTTCTCCCAGACTACAATAAGCCCTCAAGCATTGGGTGAAGGGTCCCAGGTTAGGTATAACTTGTAGGCAGGCCTAAGTTACAGTGTTTTTGGTTTTAGAAATCAAGTATTGGTTAAAAATGTAACACCATATGGGATTTATAGATTTCACAGAGATACTAAATTGTGTTTGTTGTATTTCAAACAGCCTTAGACTGGTGTTACGTGTTAGACAGGTATGGGGCTGCATTTTCCTACCTGAACTGGCAGCTAAATTCAAACAGGACCAAAGTAAAATGAGTGCTCTGTCAAGTGAACACAGTACAAACTGATTTCAGTGTGATCTCAAACCCATATGTGGGCTGAAGGGAATATGTTGAAATGTAGTTTGTGGGTTCATGGTGTTTCATCATACAACTTGCTTAGATATGAAAACTTTTGAGTTCAATTTGCTAGACCATGTAAAAATATTAGCCTACCAGATACTAAGAGTGCATGAAATCATTAGATTTTTTAAAAAGTCTCAAATACCTTGCATCAAAATAAAACAGCCTAATGGCACCTTAATGACAGAGTGTATTCCAGCATAAGTCAGAACCCAGTTATTTAAAAGATCTACTTGTAATAGTTTCTTTTGTGATATAATCTTTAATCCAAATTACTCGGGTGACTAGCAGAAGTTTTTTAAAGTAATACTTTACTGCAGACTGTTCTGGAAGTTTTGAAATGGCAAGGTTTGTGTTGAAAGGAAGGGGGAGTATGAGGAATTCTCTAACTAGGGCTGGGGGGGGGGAAGCATATGACAGTTTAACACTTAACTGTATTAGCTCACAAGTATGAGCTAATATTTTTTTTAAATGACGTATGGTCACCTGCCACGCTCTGTCAGCGTGAGAAAATGTCACAGGAACTGGTGAATGGGCGCTACCTTGAGAGGCCGCTGTCTTCCAGGAACAGCAACACAGGAACAGTTGTAACTTGTCCCAAGGCTGGCAGAACAAACTTGCCAACAAAAACCCAACCCTGACCTTTGCAGTCCTGTCTCCTTTGGAATCGTTATATTCTGCTATTACTTCCTTCTCAAACTGTGAACGAAACCTTGCCAGGTAGGCAGCGACTAACGCCGAGGTGCTCCAAGACACGCCCCCGCCAGCGCGCCTCCGCTCTAGTCAAGGTTGGAGCAATCTCCGGGACTCGACGCCGCTGCCAGCTCCAGCGTTTTAGGGCCAGAGGACTTGGCGCCTTTTCTTTCCTTCCCCGCAGCTCGCTCGCGAGGGTGCCTCTGCCTCATGTTCCGCCAGGCTATGCTGGGCCACCTGTCGTCCCGAATGCTGCCTCTCGTGGCTGCTGTGGTACTCCAGAAGAAGGAGAGGAAAGAGACTGGCCTCTATCACTGGCGGGTAATGTGGACCTGGAAGCAAGTGGTGGCGGTAGTGGCTTCACAGAGGCCCTTCGTTTTCTTGGCTGTGCCTTTAAATGTGCTTACAGCCCTAGAGCAAAGGCAACGTGGGCTGTTGGGGGGGGGGGGGGAAATAATAGAGGCAAAGGAGGAAGGGGG